CTGGGAGCCAGCCTAGAGTCCTGTCCCGAAACCACTGCATCAGCACAAATATCTCCGTTTAGGGGAAGAAAAGACAGCGTCGGCTACCGTGACCCTTGTACATTTTGCGTGAGAACAAGGAAACACGCAGGGGATTGGGACCCTCTGGCAGAAACCCTCCAGAGCTGCGAGGTTCTGGAGCGACACTTTGCCCTGTGGCCCAGGCCCCGGGGAAGGCCAAGGAAACTGACAAGGGAAGTGGAGAGTCTTGCTCAAGCCCAGGATCGGCTCCTAACGTCCCTCTCTCCGAGCGGCCCCGTTTTCTGAGTTTCATTTAATGTTTAGGATCACCTGGGGCCCAGCCTGTTAGAAAGGGGAGGACGGTGGAAATTACTCAAGAGCTGGCTGTGATTGGATGACTCCGACTGCCTCACCTCGTGGCAAGAGCGGGAGTGCGAGAGGAGGAGGGAGAGGCTCGCCCGCCCGGGTACAAAGCTCCCTCCCAGCCTGCCGAGCCTTCCAGCTTCCTTGTCAGCGCTGCCATTGATATTGAAATCAAGGAGTTGGCACAGAGCTCGTGGCGTCCTGGCAGGATGCCAGCCTGGCTCTAATGAGCCTCACCTGGGCTAATTACATTTTGTACAAACCCCGCCGCTGGAGAGGGGAGAGTTGCCAGTGGGTCGTCCGGAAAGATGGCAACCGGGATTTCTCAGCTCTGAGATTTCTTCCTGTCCGCCGGCAGTTGGAGCTCCGGAGGGCCGGGAAGTGACCCGAGGGACCCTGGCTACTTCCTTGTGGGGCCACGTGGCAGTTACCTTATTTGTTCCCGAACGTAAAAGTAAGCTGTCAAGTCAGAGGTGGTCCTCAGCCTGGCTACTCCAGAGAGGGGCCCGCCTGCCATCCTGTTATAAATACGGGACCTTAGACCTCACCGCAGACTCACGGAATCAGAATCTGCGCTTTTGACAAGATCCCCAGGTGATGGGCGCGTACAGTCAAGCGTGAGAAACCCCAATCTAGACCTTCCGCCTGGGGGGGAGAATAGGGCCCAGCGAAACTGGGCCATCCCCAATAGTACCGAACATACAGGACATCTAGAGGCCTTGGTTCAGAGGGGTGGTGGTTTCTCCGCTCTTCCATTTGTCACTTGTATGATTTGCTGGGGAGTTAACCTCTTTGGACCTCAGTTTCCTTGTCTGCAAAATGGGCATAAGTTTATTCTCCATGGCATAAATGATCGTGAGGATTACAGGCTAGAATATTTATGGGCTTCGTAGTGGGGTAGTTGAGACACAGCAAGGACTAAAGATATTCCTTGTCATTGTTGTCGATGCTATGAAGGAATCGCTGGCCCCCAGGGAAAACTCAAATTCTCACTCGGTCCTTTACCGGCTATCACATCTGTAAAATGGAATAACAGTATCCATCGCTTAAGGTTTGTGTGAGCGTTAAAAGAGATACCAGAGGGGCCCCTGGGTGGCTCAGTTGGTCGAGCCTCCAACCGTTGGCTTCTGCTCAGGTCACGATCTCACGGTTCGTGGGCTTGAGCCCTGCATTGGCTCCGTGCTGATGGTGCAGAACCTACTTGGGATTCTCTCTCTCTACCTCCCTCTCTGTCCCTTCGCTACTCTCTCTCTCTCTCTCTCTCTGAAAATAAATAAATAAACCTAAAAAATGGAGATATTAGAGTATACCTGACCAGTACCCCTTGAAACCGCCAAGGTCAGCAAATAGAGAAAATGTCTGAGAAGCTGTCAGAGCCAAGAGGAACCAAAGCAGACGTGATGAACTAAACGTGAGGGGGTATCCTGGATGGGAACCTGGGGCAGGCAAAACTAAGGAAATGTGAATCAAGTATGGATGTTAGTTAATAATAATGTGCCAATATTGACTCATTAGTTGTGACAAATGTACCATACTCACGTAAGATGTTAGGAATAGGGGATGCTGAGTTCAGGGCACATGGGAAGTCACGCTATTAGTTTCGCTGGGTTTTTTTCTGTAATTCTAAAACTGTCCTGAGAAGTCAAGTATATTTAGAAATGAACGAGATAGTACGTGAAAAGCCTTAGCCAAGGTCACCAACTTGCCCCCCTTCACCAAGGACTATCCCAGCGTTGGGGCTGGAAGTCCCAGGAAGCTGCTCCGTCGCGGGCAGACCGGGACAGCCGGTCACCGTTCCCTGAGCGCAGAGCCTGGCACAGCTCGGGACCCCAGTCATCCTTACCCCTCACACACTTGTTGCCTGGCGGTCAGCTCAGCCGGTGCTCCGGAAGGCTGGTAGCTGGCGGTGAGAGAGGACGACCCGAGAAGTTCTGACTTCCTATCTCCCTCTTGAGAGGGGAGCAAACCAGGCTGGGGAATTCACTCGCTGACCCGACAGATAGTGACACTATGTGTCAGAGACTGTGCCCTGCCCTGGGTTCGGAGGGGCTGGAGACACACAGGTTCATAAGGCCCCGACGGGAGGGCCTGTAGTCTCACAGCAGACCTAAGACTTGCACAACAACAACACAAGCATCGCAACAAACAAGGCTGCCGAGCAGGCATGATCACCCTCAATTTCTTCCGACCAGGAAATGAAGGTTCCGAGAGGCCAGACGGCTTGCCCAAGCTGATACAGAGTCAGGACCTACCCCACACCTGTCCATGTCCCAAGTGCTGTGTTTTTGCCATTACCCCACAGCTGCCTCCCAGGGGTCTGCAGGACAGGGGAGAGAGATCTGGGCAGTGGGGGTGGGGTGGGCAGGAGGCACGGCTGTTGTACCACGCGGGCTTCAGAAGGACTAGCGACCTCAAGCTGGGAGAAATCAAAGAGGACTTCCTGGAAGAGATGGGCTCTAAGTGAGGGCTTGGAGGCTACAGGGAGATCCTGCCCAGGAGCTCACCAACTTAATTTCTCTCGTGCGTTTCTCGTGAGTTCTTTCATCTTCAAGAACCGGGGGATCTGGGGACGATGATGATGTGTGGTCCCTTGCACATGGTGGGATAACACTTGGGGAAAATTGCCTTGAGTTTTGCTAGCATTCCTGTGTTGGCTGTTCTTCCCTCCACTAGGCATCGGTCCTCGTGACCACACCAAAAATGTCAGGACAGGAATCTGAGTTTAGTAAAGGTTGGCTTTGCCAACCCATGATTCCTGAGGCAACTCGGGGACAGGACCAGACACAGTTACAGAGCAAGTCTCCCTGCTGGACGTGACGAGCTAAACTTGTGGGCGGGGGACAGAGGGCAGCTGGAGGTGAACTAGGGAGTCCCATGAGGCCAGGTGTGCCTGAAAGGAAGCTTAACAGATTTGAGGGGACTCAGGAGTAGTGACAATCTGGACTCCTTCCCCAGTTGCACCTACGAAAGCCACAAGTCCCCCCAGATGCCCTGGGCTCCCATGCACTGGGGAGGAAAGGCAGCAGAATGGCTCAGAGAGGTGGGTGTCCAGGCAGCTGGGGCGGGGGGGGGGGCCCTCAGGGGCGGGGTTGATGGGCATCTAAATTAGGAAGTCACCTGGGACTCGGCATTTGGTTGAACGCCCTGCTGGTGCCTACGGGAAATTCCAAATTATTTTGGGGAAAGGAACCCCCCCCCCCCGCCATTTTCATTTTGCACTTGGCCGTGCACGTGTACAGCTGGTTGTGGCTGCCTGACAGGGTGCCCGTGTGCCTCAGAGGGAGAATGCCACGGCCACCTCACGAGGCTGAGGGGGAGTAAATGTACTGAAGCCTCACAGAGCTCAAAGTGGCTCAGGAACTGCCCAGTGGCGGTCGTGGGCTTAGAGGACCAGGACATCTGAGAGGACATCCTTCTCACATCCGTGAGACCTTGCCACCACCTGCTACTAGATGCCCCCTCTGCGAGGGACCCACCTGCCCCAGCCTGCACGTCCCCACCACCCATTTTAGTCGTATCCCTTGGGAAAGGAGAGGAGACCTGAACCGGCTGGGAATACGTTTCAGCCACCTGAACACGGACTTGCAATCCACATTTAGTTCAGGTGAAGAATGTAGGCGGAGGTTGTATTTCTTCCCCACCTGGGCTTGGGAGCTTTGTCCCTGGTACAGCTACAGCTTGGCTTCTTTTTGGGGGACTAAGCTGGGCTTCGATCCGATTCCTGCCCTCTGTTCTCACTGTCAGTGATGCAGAGGGCAAGACTCTGGAATCCAGTCCCGTCAGCGCGTGCGTTGGCCAACTCGTCCCCACTTGGCTCCAACAGCGTCATCGGTGCCTCTGATTTCTGGCAGTGCTCGCCTGGCTCTGCCCGCGGGTTGCAGGGCGCTGACGGAGCCCTGACCTCACGCGACCCTCGTGAAAACCTGCCGGTCAAGGCCTGCGGAGAATCTCGCCCTCAGCAAACTGGCATGTAGAGCTGGGTGGTTCTCTTTTGGGGGGGCTGCTCTGTGCACTGCAGGACCTTAGGCAGAAGCCCTGGCCTCTATCCGCCCGCCGGGTGCCAGGAGCGTCCTCCCCCACCACGACCACCAAAAATGAGCCCAGGCGCCACCAGCTGTTTCCTCGGCGGGACAATCGCCCCTGATGGTTTTAAATCCCTCATGGCCAATAACTACGGAGTGACTACGGAGTAAATTATTTAATCATGAAGTGCCCGGATCACTCCTTTTGGAAAAAGAGAGAGAGTAATTGCATTGACCGCTCATTATTGTGGCGTGAAGCCGACAGGTTCTCATAGGGGGACCTCCCCGTGACGGCAAAGGGGCCTCACAGGCGGTTCTCTGCTCTGGTCCCAGCCTCGTGTTCTAGGGGAACATGAAGGCTTGGCGGGGTTAAGAGACTCCCTCCAACCCAGACTCATCGCTCCTTTTTTTTTTTTTTTTTTTAATGTTTTTATTTTTGAGAGACAGAGAGAGTGGGGGAGGGAGCAGAGAGAGAGAGAGGGAGACACAGAATCCGAAGCAGGCTCCAGGCTCTGAGCCGTCAGCACAGAGGCCAACGAGGGGCTCAAACTCATGAGCCGTGAGATCATGACTTGAGCCGAAGTCGGACGCCCAACCGACTGAGCACCCCTCATAGCTCTTTTTATAACAAAATCCTTCAATTTGATGGTGGGGGGGGGGGTAGTTATGAAAACATTCCCCCCACTGAGGGAGTGATGGATACAGTGACAGCATCTCACTGGTTGAGGGAGGCTGAGGGCAGGCCAGGCACCGTGGGAAGCTTTGCAGGATCAAGTCAATACGGATAGTAGCCCTGCTTCCCAGGTGAGGACACAGAGGCTCAGAGAAGGAGGTTCACCAGCATTCCCAGGGACCACAACGTAAGCTCCACGAGTGGTGTGGTCGTGAACCTGTGATTTAGCCAAAGTGGGCACGGAGGGGCCGCACTCTAATGGAGGGACTGGTGCTTCGGGGAGTTTGCTTTGGCAAACCGCGCGTCCTATTACTTATTTAATACTTTTCTTTAAGTGGATTGACTTTTCGGCTTAAATATTTTAAAAGGCATTTTATGTTGCTCCTCTAAATTGAAAAGCCGTTTCAGCGGCCACGCGTGGAAGGGAAGAGAGTTTCTCATGTTAGGAGTCAGTGTTATCTATCTTTGGTAAATGAGGAACAAGAATCGACTCTGGGCAGCACGTGGCTCTTTGGCCTCTCATACTCATTAAATGCCCCATAAATAGGTTGCAGCACGTCCTATGGGTTGGCTCATTCCACACCCACTCACCCCCAATCTCCTTATAAATACCCTCCGCTAGAGGCTGAAAACCAAAACACTTCACTTCCTGCGTCCTTTGTAGCTGGGGGTGGTCCTGCGCCAGTGGGAAGTGGGGGGGGGGGGTGTGGAGTCCTTCCTTGATTAAAAAGGCAAAACCTTGCTGGAGGATTTTCTTTCATCGCCTCTCTCTTTGTGCCGATTGGTGTTATAGGTCAGCTTGGCCAGGCTCGGGTACCTAGCTATTCAAACATTTGTCCAGGTGATTGTTGCCATGGAGGTGTTTTGGAGATATGATGGAAGTCCATAATCAGTTGATTTTTAGTGAAGGAGATTATCCTCCATCATGCGGGTGGGCCTCATGCAATCAGTTGAAGACCTTAAGAGCAAAACTGAGGTTTCCCTGAGGAAGAAGAAATTTCACACGAGGGGAGCAGCTTCAGCTCGGGCCTGAGCATTTCCAGACTGCTGGCTTGCCCTACAAATTTCGGACTTGGCCAGCCAGACTCAGAATTGCATAAGCCACTTCCTTAGAGTAAGTGAGTAAATAAATAATCCCACAGTCACGGCGCTCGCGCTTTCTCTCTTTCTCTCTCTCTCTCTCACTGGATTTGTTTCTCTAGCAGAATCCTGACTGATACACTCTTCTTCTACCCTTTCGCAGAGGGGACATGAGCTATGAAGATGCCTCTGCACCTTGCTGCCACGTAAGTGACAAACCTGTGGACATTGATGTTAAGCCTGGCGGAGCAGGAAGTTTTGCAGGGAACAAGGGTCTGTGATTGCTTCACTGTGCTCGCCTACCAGCTTGGACGGTCTCCCTCTGGGCATCTTAATATATCTGAAATCAGAATGCGCCTTCCGATAAATGACATCTTACAACTAATCGGCGGGGTTGTTTCTATACTTTCTTTTTCCCCCTTTGGAAGTCCTTAAATAATGACACATCTTACAATGAGTGGTGTCCTTGATTTAGTAAACTGTGGTAACTGCAAACCAAGTATTGATTTGGTTTAAGCGATTGTATATTTCGGAGAGGCCAGCGTGCGCGCACTTGATCTCCCTGGGCTTAAGGCTATGAAACTGCGAGTCCTGGAAGGGAACAGGGAAAACCCGCACGTAGCAGCTGCACGTGCAGCGCCCCCTGCCCCCGACACCTCGTCTTTTCTCGTGCGGTCACCTGCCATGTAGCAAAGCGGGCACAGGCTCAACCTTTAATTCCTTAATGAAGGTTTCTTTGAAAACAAACAGGGTCCTCCGTCTGCTTGCATTTTAACGTCACAAGAAAATAAAAGCTTTCCCAAATCCTGTCCCCTCTCTCACCCCACCAGATCCACTTTTCTGGCTTAATGCAGGTTGAAATGAGGTGTTTTCTGTTTTTTCTTTTTTTTTACTGATGAAAATATTATAGGAATTAAAAACCAAACCCATTAATATCCTGATTAGACTCCCCATGTTAATTGCAGATTCTTTCAGGCGACAGAACAGGTCACTGTCTGGGCTGAATGTGATCGCGGTGTTTCATAAGAGCTGCCCGTAAGGAACAGCAGTTTGCAGCGAAAACTTTTGCCACCTGGCAGATGAAGCTGGGAAGTGATTTTTTCCTTTCTCACGCTTGCGAGAAGTAACAGCAGGTACTGAGCGCTGCCTTTGGGGAAGGGGAGCCAGATGGGAAAAAGGGAACGAGGGGGCCCGGTTATTTCTTTCTTTTTCAACACGCTTCCTGGCAACCTCAGTACGGATTTTCCTCTTTCCCTCTCCTGCCTTCCCAAAAGAAGGTGATTGAGAGGGTTCTTGCATGCAAACAAACAAGCAAACAAAAAGCAGCAGGAGGCACTGTTTGTCACAGAAGTTTCTGGGCTCCCCATCCCTGAAATGCCTTCCTCCTTCATCCATGGGGCTAGAGCAGGGGGCAAAAACAAACACCTAGTATCCACACAGAGAGCACGAAGGGCTGAGTGGGGACTGTGGCACACTGCAGAAGCCTGGTCCTGGGTTAAGGGACGGAGTCAACTGAGTCTTTGCGTGTTGCACAAGCTCTGTGTTTAGGACAGGGTCTGAGCACCTCTCCTCGCCTACAGAGTACACACGTCCGTCCAAGGAGGTGGGAGTGACTCAGCCCCCAGCGTGCATCACAACCACATCAGGGGCTTAGTTAGAGCGCAGGGCTCTGGGCCCCATCCTTGGGGGTTCTGATCCAGTCGGTCTCTGGGGAGGCCAAGGGTTTCCTTTCACACAGGTTGCAGGTGGTGCTGACGCTGCTTATTTGGGGGACACACTTGGGGAACTATCGGCCCCCAGCCTGGTCGCCTGGGCTGTCGTACAGCCTCCTAACCGGTCTCCGGGGTCTACCCTGCCCGCTTAGAGCTTGTCTTGCCGCGGGGGTCCCGGTTCACAGCACAGCTGTGCTCGCTCACATCTCCTGGCTCCCATCGGGTTCCAGAAGGAACCAAGTACTTCAGTCCTGTCTGCTTCCCTGGCAGACTCACAGTCCGCCCTGGCGTCCAAGAGACAATCCACGTCTTTCCATGGCTTCTCCCTGGTCAGTTGCTAACCTTCCATTCAAGCTGCTCTACTAAATTTTCTCAACCACACTGCTTTATAATTCCAGCTTCTCCGATCATTTAAAAAAAAAATGACTTTATTACTCTTCCCTATCAATGCTATTCATGCATTTCCTAAAGACCTGTAGCCTGTGCCCATGAACCCAGCCTCACTCAACACAAATATCAGTGCATCCGGGATCTGCGTGGTCGCTTGGTAAATCCTACCCAAAGGGAAATGTGTTCCTAATGCAATAACCACTCATAACGTGCCGGCAAGGCTGTTTCCCCCTTTCTCACACAATGTGCCAGAAACTCTGAGAACTCCATGCCTGGCAAAGTGTTTTATACTGAGGCCAGGCACCTTGTGGGAAGGAGCCCTACGTACTTCAGACGAATCCCAGACAGATGTCAGATAAACATATTTGAATAAACCAAATATCACTTTTCTCTTTAATCGCTGGCTTCAGAGGAGCTGAGACTTTCTGGACCTTATCAAGGTGTTGTCATCTTTGATTCCTCCGTTGTATTTCAGGCACATTTTTTTTTTTTAAAGTGTCAAGATGATAGGGGTGCAGGAGGGAGAAAGCAGAAAGGGTGATAAGTTTAGGTGAAAATAAAACACGTGAGCCCCGCCAGACGTCTTGGTCAGCACAACGCGGGAGTATCTACTGGCCCGGATTTTTCTCCAGCTTCATGCATCAGGTTGGATTCCTGGGGGTTTCTCAGGATACACTAACTCCATTCATATTTCTCTCTCTTTACTATCCTATCGGGTCACTCTTAACTTTAGAGGCATTATATTTCATGTCACTTTTATATTAAAAAAGTGTGCGTATCACCGCCAAGGATCGCACGGAAACTGGTAAAATCTGAATCCACTTCGGTCCCGATATTGTTCTATCGCCATCCAAGATGTTAACACTGGTGGAAGCTGGGTGAAAAGCGCACAGAACTTCTCTTTATATTTCTTTGTCACTTCCTGTGGGTTTATAATCTCAAACTAAAAAGTAAAAAACAAAAATGTGTATGAGACTAGAGACTATCTACCAATATAGATGGGTAGAGACAAAAAGTGTAGATCAAGGGTTGGCAAAGTAGAAAAGGGCCAGATAATAAATAATTAGTATTTTAGGCTTTGCAGGCCATATAGTCTTTGTTCTTACTACTTAGTTCTGCCACAGAATCATAAAAGTAGCCAAAGACAGTACGTAAGCAAATGGCCATGGGGGTCTCCAATAAAGCTTTATTTAAAACACACAGGAAGTGGGCTGAATTTGGCGTAGGGCTTCTGTTAGTCGACCTCTGAGCAAGAATTTGTGTGCAAAACACTGATGTCTACTAAAATGTTAGTAATAAACACTGACATGTTCCTTCCTCTCCACCCATCTCCCTGGTGGTCCACCTGAATGCTTCAATTTCCCTTTAGTGGACATATGTCATTTATATCACTAAAAAAATAAGGTTCTGACTGGCTTTCATGATTTTGTGGTTTGTTTTTTAGAAAAGAGATGAAAGGTACCTAGAATATCTTAGGGAATTCGGCTCCTTTTTGGGGGGGGGGGGCCCGCCCCGCCATGACCGTTATTCATAGAGTTAATCTAGATGCACAACCCGTGTTTATGACTAGGTCCCACACGTGGGATTATCTGGTAATAACTCCAGTGTGGTTATGCTCAGCTGTGGCGGCAAATGCCAGAGCCATGAGACCGAAGTTGATATGGGTGACCGGAGGGAGAGAGGAAGCAGGGCTTTCCGGGGTTAAACTTGGTCATAAATGGCTTTCAGTGCTAGATCTCAGACACATGGGTCTCGGGTCTTTGTACACCCCCCGCCCCCACACTTCCTGCTTTGTAGGAAGCCAAGGAGAAGAGAGGCTTTTCTACTTTTTTACTTTTACTTGAAGTTAATTTTGCAATTAACAGGGTACAATTGAGGTGCTTCCTGGAATTTTGAGTTGGGGACCAAGAATCGAAACTTATCGTGTTGGATCGCTGCCTTAAGCCCGGCTCTAGACAAAACAGTCTCAACAGACAGTTGTCTCTCCGGTTTTTAAAGTTCAACAGGAAAGGAGACAGAAGTTGAAGTTCTTTGGCAAACGCATTCCAGTGATGAGAAACATTCCTGTTTTATATTAAGCTTAAAACCTTTCTGATGGCAATATTCAGACCTTGAGTTTACGGCAGAACCTGATTTTCTAGTAGAAATGATGCTTGCCCGAGTGCTAATTCTTGGCCGAAGTCCTGAAGCTTCACGTTTTATAGAAATTATCAATAATAGTGTATTTAATTGTTAATTCAACTAACTATTCATACCCTGCCACTGGTGGATATAAAATTTCTAAGGTACGTATCAAGCCGACTGGGGGCTATGGCTTTGAAGCATGTAATTTTCTTTATTGATATTCCTCCTCCAGCCACAGAAAGATTTAAGGTGACATAAAATGGAAATAATTAATACAGCTAACGAAAAGAGGAGAAATCAAATATCTTACTGATAAGAACTAAAATAGTTTCCGTGATTAACCATCCAATTTGGATATGAGCTTCCTGGCACCCAATGCAAAAAAAAAAAGAGGGGGGGGTACAATACAGCGTTCAGTCGTCTTATGATTGAAATTGAACGAAGAGAAAGATGCTACTTCCTCAGTAAACTAGAAGAGACATGTGTCACCAAAGATTCTGCATGGAGAATATCCATTATCAATGGCTTGTCCATAATAAATCACTTATCAGCTAGGGCATAGATGTCCGGGAAAGTTCACCGTGTTTGACATACTCCCGTGGAGATCACTCTTCCTCATCTACACAGCAAAAAAGTTCGAGTTACCACGTCTCCAGCGTGGGAACTACTCAGAAAAAAGGAGCGTAAATGACAACTGATCAGTCTGTAAAGCTAAGATCCAAACTGCTTACGGACAGAGTTGGAGTAGCTGTCTATGTGGATTTTTTTTTTAGAAGATGTCTTTCTGGTCACGACGCACGCGCAGGTTTGGACCCCGCGCACAGCCCTGCACTGGCTCCCCTCCCACACTGCGACACCAACAGACACCCCATCCGTCGTCTTTAAACCGCCCCCCCATGCCTTCACTGTGCATCCTTTTTGCCATCAATCTCAGGTCCCTGAGGGATCTGGTCCCTTCCTGTCCCTTGTTTTCAAGTTTACAAGGCTTTTCTGTCCCTCAAATGCACCTTCTAAGGAAGGGTGAGCTTCCTGCTTCCCATGTACAGGTTTCACGCGGGTCAGGAACTTCCCTGACCACCCTGCGGATGCTCATTCCACCGTCATCCTGGGTCACCAGCTCCTCAGCCCGTGTGGATGCCTTCAAAGCTCTCATCACACCCAGAAAGAGTCTTGTTCGTTTTCTCTTTTTGTCCGAAGTTATAAGCGAGCCCTGCTGTGGGCGGGGGCTTTC